AGTGCCATGTGCTACAGCCTTTCCGACCACCTAGCAAGAGGTACGGAGAACTATGTAACTACTTCATATCATCTGATGTCTTAGAAGATATAATTATGTTGTATCCTAAATCTGGAATGTAGTACCACATGACTGCATATCAAATGTTTTAATACTTTTCCACGCCCAAGCTATATGCCGGTGTGGTAGTTGAGTACCCAAACGACTGCGCAACTATTTCCCTTCCTTGAATTGACAAAGTACTTATTATCATAACAATGTCATAGGATAATATCCAAATGTAATACCATTATGTAATGTTATGACCATGTATTAAATGTACTACAGCTTGCCCACGCCTGTGCAGCTAGCCAGGGTGGTAAATAAAGGACTAAACTAAAAAAAAAAACAGTCAAACCAGCAAACTGAGTTGGCAGGAATACTCATGGCCACCGAATTTCTATTGAATCGAGGCTCAGGGGTCATTTTCTGGGATTCACAGAGTGCTCTCCAGGCTCTGAACACTCTAGACAAATGTGCGGGAAATATTGCAAATGACATCAAGGTAAACGTGTATCGTGCAGAAGAACGAGGCCATAATTTACGTTTTGTGTGGATCCCATCACATGTTGGAATCCCTAGGCATGATCATGCTGATTGCCTAGCAAAGTCAGCATGTGACAAACAAAATGTGGATATAGATCTTGGGTTACCTCTTTCTAGGATTTTATACATCATTAAAGCTTCCTTCAAAGAGGACTTGACTAAGTTAATTAATTCTAAACGCCCTGAAAGCTGTAGCATAAAGCACTATGACCGGTTTAGGCAAGATTCATTCACAAGACAGTGTGGTAATGTGACTGCAAGAATCAGGCTTGGATATAGAATGTATTGGCAGGTTAGTACAGCTTGTAATGTCGAACAAGCTAAGTGTAAACTGTGTAATGAAGAATATATGCGAACACTTGTACATTTTATCTCAGAGTACCATGTGTTGCAGCCTTTCAGACCACCTAGCATGAGGTACGGAGAACTATGTAAATACTTTATATTATCTGATGTCTTAGAAAATATAATTATGTTGTATCTTAAATTCGGAATGTAGTATCACATGACTGCATATCAAATGTATTAATGCTTTTTCCACGCCCAAGCTATATGCCGGCATGGCAGATGAATAGTTAAAGTACTGTACAATTGTTTCCTTTCCTTGAATTGATAAAGTACTTATCTTAAAATGTTATAGGATAATATCCAAATGTAATGCCATTATGTAATGTTATGACCATGCATTAAATGTACCACAGCTTGCCCACGCCTGTGCAGTTAGCCAGGGTGGTAAATAAAGGACTAAATTAAACTAAAAACTTATTTCATGCTGTTCTATTCTATGTTCTTATTCATATATACTGTTTTCCGCTTGGTTGTATGCTGTATTAAGGTAGAATATGCATTATTTTCTTTTCTCTCTTGCGTTCGATTATGATATAATGTCATGAAATGGTGAAAATGTTAATTAAAAAATATATGAAAAAGAAAGAATTAATTATAAAAAATACTTGCAACACAATGGCAAGATTAACAAAGCTTAGTTCTTATGCAGTGATTCGTAACTTTACATTATAATGATATAATGCATTGCCAGATGTGTGTTTTTTATACTATGAAAAATATTTTCTGTCATCAATCTCGCTCTTCATAAGCAATATGAACTTTTTTTTTAAATTTTCACAAGCCTTGTGGTCCCTTGTCATAATCATATGTAAGCTTCATTAATTCTAAAAATAGAAAAACACAAAATCTCTTTTCATACCCAAGGAAAGTAATACAAGTAATAAGAAAACATAAATTATATATTTTTTACACAGCTGTACAGTATATAAGGGTACATTTGGTCATACAGGGAAATGTAAGATGACTGTCTTGCCATTAAGCACAAGCTAAGGGCTAGCTGTTGGCGATACCACTGCTTCACGCTTAAGAACGAGTCAGCATATTGTCTACAAGAACAATTTTTGTAACAACCTCAAGTATCTACCTATTCAAATCCCCAAATATTAGTTTCCATGACACTCATTCTCACTTACTCACTCTCTTCTACCTCCTCTCTCTCTTTCCATCCTCCCCCATCTCTCTCTCTCTCTCTCTCTCTCTCTCTCTCTCTCTCTCTCTCTCTCTCTCTCTCTCTCTCTCTCTCTCTCTCTCTCTCTCTCTCTCTCTCTCTTGCTCTTCCCTACACACATCTGGGGATAAATACATTCACATGCAAAAGAAGAATTAAACACTTTTATCGCTACATACCCTCCTTAGTACATGCACAGACACTATCAAACTTTTACACACTGCCTGATGTACACTTATACCAACTTTATAATAGAAAGATAACAGATACTTTTTCTTTTGACATCAAGGTATTACTACGCTTGATGTAACTCATGTACATACAAGTTATAAAGGTAGCGGGCATATCGAATCATGCTTATTTAGTCACAAAATAATGTATTTTACTTTTTGTGAATAGAGTACACGCGAATGAAATCATTAACAATTACGGAAACAAAGAAAGCAAACACCCCGATTTTTCTTACCGCAAACAAGCACTCATGCACTAGCCAAGGCACACACAATCTAGTCACGTAGAATACTTGGTACCAGCAATGGAGACAGCTACCATAGGCCTTAGCAAGCACTTTATATTGTTTTCAAGGGCTCAGTTTTTCTTTCATGCTACAAGTGGATGTCACAGTATACCAGGTACACCACATAATCAAAGGATGCCACATGATGCCGACAGGTGCCATACAGGAAAGGATGTTGACAGATATCTGTGAGTGCCACACATCCTCAAAATGCTACATACCTGAAGATGCAGCACATCACTTGATGCCACCAAACACACACGCTACACTTCTACATGATTACACTAGAACTATACTGTGGAAGGTACTTTATACCTGTCCTTAACATGAAGTCATAATCTAAACGTTTCTTTTTCTGTAATACATTTGGATTATTATAATATATATGTATTTTTTTTTTATAAAATTGTTACATCACATAAATCAGCCATATTTCTCCTACGTCTACATTACTAAACAGTTAAACATCAAGAAAAATTAGCCTTTATCATAACAAAATCCTGTAAAATAGTAATTCTTTATATGGTCTTGGTACTAAAGAACACTGACTTTCTGCCTTTATACAGTCTTTGAAATGTACATTTATCAATTTGTCTTGGGGAAAGTAATACTAGCCTTTACATACTAAAATCACAGCACAAGCATCTGTATATATATATGTATATATTTTTTATAAAATTGTTACATCACATAAATCAGCCATATTTCTCCTACGTCTACATTACTAAACAGTTAAACATCAAGAAAAATTAGCCTTTATCATAACAAAATCCTGTAAAATAGTAATTCTTTATATGGTCTTGGTACTAAAGAACACTGACTTTCTGCCTTTATACAGTCTTTGAAATGTACATTTATCAATTTGTCTTGGGGAAAGTAATACTAGCCTTTACATACTAAAATCACAGCACAAGCATCTGTATATATATATGTATTTTTTTTTTATAAAATTGTTACATCACATAAATCAGCCATATTTCTCCTACGTCTACATTACTAAACAGTTAAACATCAAGAAAAATTAGCCTTTATCATAACAAAATCCTGTAAAATAGTAATTCTTTATATGGTCTTGGTACTAAAGAACACTGACTTTCTGCCTTTATACAGTCTTTGAAATGTACATTTATCAATTTGTCTTGGGGAAAGTAATACTAGCCTTTACATACTAAAATCACAGCACAAGCATCTGTATATATATATGTATTTTTTTTTTATAAAATTGTTACATCACATAAATCAGCCATATTTCTCCTACGTCTACATTACTAAACAGTTAAACATCAAGAAAAATTAGCCTTTATCATAACAAAATCCTGTAAAATAGTAATTCTTTATATGGTCTTGGTACTAAAGAACACTGACTTTCTGCCTTTATACAGTCTTTGAAATGTACATTTATCAATTTGTCTTGGGGAAAGTAATACTAGCCTTTACATACTAAAATCACAGCACAAGCATCTGTATATATATATGTATTTTTTTTTTATAAAATTGTTACATCACATAAATCAGCCATATTTCTCCTACGTCTACATTACTAAACAGTTAAACATCAAGAAAAATTAGCCTTTATCATAACAAAATCCTGTAAAATAGTAATTCTTTATATGGTCTTGGTACTAAAGAACACTGACTTTCTGCCTTTATACAGTCTTTGAAATGTACATTTATCAATTTGTCTTGGGGAAAGTAATACTAGCCTTTACATACTAAAATCACAGCACAAGCATCTGTATATATATATGTATTTTTTTTTTATAAAATTGTTACATCACATAAATCAGCCATATTTCTCCTACGTCTACATTACTAAACAGTTAAACATCAAGAAAAATTAGCCTTTATCATAACAAAATCCTGTAAAATAGTAATTCTTTATATGGTCTTGGTACTAAAGAACACTGACTTTCTGCCTTTATACAGTCTTTGAAATGTACATTTATCAATTTGTCTTGGGGAAAGTAATACTAGCCTTTACATACTAAAATCACAGCACAAGCATCTGTATATATATATGTATTTTTTTTTTATAAAATTGTTACATCACATAAATCAGCCATATTTCTCCTACGTCTACATTACTAAACAGTTAAACATCAAGAAAAATTAGCCTTTATCATAACAAAATCCTGTAAAATAGTAATTCTTTATATGGTCTTGGTACTAAAGAACACTGACTTTCTGCCTTTATACAGTCTTTGAAATGTACATTTATCAATTTGTCTTGGGGAAAGTAATACTAGCCTTTACATACTAAAATCACAGCACAAGCATCTGTATATATATATGTATTTTTTTTTTATAAAATTGTTACATCACATAAATCAGCCATATTTCTCCTACGTCTACATTACTAAACAGTTAAACATCAAGAAAAACTACTGCTGGCACTGATGCCCCAACCACAAAGTAAGGCCAGTTCGAAAAAAAATCTTTCTCTGGAACGATAACAGCCAACCAAGACCACACCTTCAAGTCATGTCTTTGCCTTTGATGAAAGTTCCAGCGATACTCTTTCTCGGAGTGGATCAGTCTTCAGAACACATCTCGCGGGTCCTCCAAAAAGGCTTATTCCTGAGTCATATACATTTTACTCAGTCGTCTGCCTGATTCACTTCTCGAAGGGACAGTGTAGGTAACTCGTATTTCTACCAGATGCGTGCCTATGCGAATCAAGAAAGCCAATCACAGTGAAGACACGTGATACTTTGCCGTTGGAACCTCTGGATGACTGGTCAAAACACAGGTCCAAAATTCTTTTCTTCCCAGTGCGTATTGGGAATGATAAAATAATTATATCCACTGTGGAAGACACTACATAATTTCATGTGACACAACTTGATATGTTTTTTTTTAATCAGACCTACCTTCACAGTGGCTAAAAGATCTGGAGTCTTTCTAATATTCATATACAAGAACATGTCCCCGGGTGTCATAATTTCTCCTCAGAGGGACTCTGGGTGTCAATATCTTTGTGCTTCATCCCATCGTCTTTCGACGGCGATCTCTTTTTAAAGGAAAACGACTTGAATAACAAGGACCTGGTGGACTCGTTCTTTTTCTTTTGATTCTTGGGAGAACCATGGTAAACTAGAGGTAACTTGTCTGATGGCTTACATACTTTGGTGCGGTTGAGCATTGGTTGCGGTTGGTTGTGTTGGGACGCTCCGTCTGGTTGAGACCCCTCTGTTTCAACCAACAGGTCATCCTCCGAGCCCCCGGGGGTGTTCTCTGGAGTCTGCCGGTCGCCTGTATCCGGCTTGCGAGGGCGCCCGTTTTTGCGGGGAAGAACATCCAGTGAGAGGCTGAACCTTTTGTGCCTGAGGAAGGAGTTGGAGGCGAGTGCGCACTTTTCTGACAGTGTTGGTGATGGTTGAGCATCTGAGCATATATACTGTTTTTTCTTTGGTTCTAAAAGCTCAAAAGAGGTAGAAGTTTTGATTTCAATGGGCGAAAAAACATCCGTGGCCGAGCCTTTACATTTTCCCTTGGGCGTCTCTTTCCCATTCCCACTTATCATGTTTTCTTCACTCGGCAGCTTCTGGCCACTTACCCCAAAGCTAATTCTAGGTCGGGATATATGGAACGTTCTGAGGGAGCGGTTTTTTCCGGGCTCCGACTTACTTCGAGTTCGTCTGAGCACCCCGTGCAGCCCCCCGTGTTTATGCCGCGTACTGCTGCTGACCTTGCCCAAGGAGGCCGAGCCGTTCGCGTTTCTGTCCCTGTCACCTGAGGAAAGACGTTCGGAAAATATTCTAAACCGAGCAAAGAGAGACGATTCCTTTTCGCACTTTCCGGGCAACAGCTCGTCCTCGTCGGGTTCATTCCGGGCCTCGGCGTGCGGCAGAAGTCGGTCCTCCAGCGACTTCGGGGACACCGTCCGCTCGCAGCTGGACCGCCCCCCGACGCTGCTCCGACGCTCGGCGCTGTTCCTGCGCGAGGGCGGCCGGGGGATGTCCGACGCGATCTTGAACCGCGACGTCCTCTCGCTCACGTCGACCTCTGTCTCCGTCAAGTCGACGTCCTCCAGGTCGATTTCGCCGCAGTCGACGGTGCTCGCGCGGTAAAAGGAAGCTCGGGATGAAGCTCGGCTCTTTAGACTCAAGGAGCTCTCTGTCTTTTGTACGACCTTCTTTATGTTCTCTTGAGACAGCTGGCTGGTGGGTCTCTCGGGCACGACCACCTCCTCCTCCTCCACTTCTTCGACGGCGTCGGCGTCGTCGGACAGTTTCTTGGTTGCCTCGTTGAGCTTCCGATAATGCTCGAGGGCGTACTTAACAGGGCTGATAATGAGGTCCTGAAAGGCAGGGAGGCTAGAATTTAACTGGAGTAATATGGATATTGTGTTATCAATCATTACAATATATTTCTGCCACTTATGTATATAAAAGAAAACAGTAATGCATGCATGCTCACGCACGCACGCACGCACGGACGACATTTGCAAATTCTAGCGCCTGGGCGGGGCGCGAACCACCGACCCTCGGATGAGAGGCCGATACGTTACTAGCCCGGAGGCTGAGATAGCTAGATAGATAGATAGCTAGATAGCTAGATAGATAGATAGATAGATAGAGAGAGAGAGATAGATAAGAACGCACTCGCCCAACCCTCCCGCACCCCCCTCACCTCCAGCTCAGGCAGCACCTTCCCCAGGGCTTCGAACAACGGCAGAAGAACAAAGCCGATGAACGCACACTGGGACGAGGGCTTCGTCACTTTCTCCCGGTCCATGAAGGGCGTGACCGGGAGCCCTTCCAGTTTCTCTAGGTCACTCTGGTTGAAGAATTCCTGCAGAAATAAAAGGTGACGGATTAATCACACTGGAGGAATGTGTGTGCGTGTGCGTGTTTATACATCCATCCATCCATATCACATATATATCTATATCTATATATGTGTGACCGAGTGTGTGTGTGTGTGTGTGTGTGTGTGTGTGTGTGTGTGTGTGTGTGTGTGTGTGTGTGTGTGTGTGACCGAGTGTGTGTGTGTGACCGAGTGTGTGTGTGTGTGTGTGTGTGTGACCGAGTGTGTGTGTGTGTGTGTGTGTGTGTGTGTGTGTGTGTGTGTGTGTGTGTGTGTGTGTGTGTGTGTGTGTGTGTGTGTGTGTGTGTGTGTGACCGAGTGTGTGTGTGTGACCGAGTGTGTGTGTGTGTGTGTGTGTGTGTGTGTGTGTGTGTGTGTGTGTGTGTGTGTGTGTGTGTGTGTGTGTGTGTGTGTGTGTGTGTGTGTGTGTACGTGTGTGTATGTGTGTGTATGCGTGTATACGCATGCACACACACACACACACACATCTATATTCATATCTATATTTATATCTATTATCTATATCAATGTGTGTGTGTGTGTGTGTGTGTGTGTGTGTGTGTGTGTGTGTGTGTGTGTGTGTGTGTGTGTGTGTGTGTGTGTGTGTGTATGCGTGTGTGTGCGTGTGTACGCATGCACACACACACACACACACATCTATATTCATATCTATATTTATATCTATTATCTATATCAATATGAATATCTATATCTACATCCATCCATCTATCTATCTATCCATCTACACATACACACACACAGACACATATACACATATGTGTATACATATTTATGTATATATATATGTGTGTATGTGTGTGTGTGTGTGTGTGTGTGTGTGTGTGTGTGTGTGTGTGTGTGTGTGTGTGTGTGTGTGTGTGTGTGTGTGTGTGTGTGTGTGTGTGTCTATATATATATATATATATATATATATATATATATATATATATATATATATATATATATATATATATATATAATTGAGGCAGACGCTTACGGAGCGTCTGAAATAATGACACCTACAGTGATATGCGCGTTGTTCCCTTAGGCAAGGAACTTCACCTCAATTGCCTGATGGTATGAATGGATGTGTGAATGTGTATAGTGAAAGTCAATGGAGCGAATGAGGGAAAGAGAGACGATGAACTCTTCAATCACCCGAAGGAAGGCAACGGGAACCCACCTTCGTACAGTTCCTTGTACAACCTTGAAATTAAACATGGTCGCCAACGTCAGGCTCTGATACGGCACAGAAAAAAGAAAGAAAAAAAAAGAAAAAAAAAGAAAAAAAAAAAGAAAAGAAAGAAAGAAAGAAAGAAAAATACATATACATATATATATTTGAAAAAATAGAGAACGCAACATTACCTCCAGAAGACACTCGAGCCATGGTTCTGCAATGTCAAGGGGTCGTGCCTCGTTGCTAATATCGGCCACTTTTATTAGGACCATTGACAGCTGCAAAGAAAGTGATGCGTTTAGTAAAACGACTTGGGTAAGGGAGCGTGGGAAGGAGGGAAGGAGGGAGGGAGGGAAGGAGGGAGGGAGGGAGGGAGGGAAGGAAGGAGGGAGGGAGGGAGGGAGGGAGGGAGGGAGGGAGGGAGAGAGGGAGAGGGAGGGGGGAAGAGGGAGGGGGGAAGAGGAAGAGGGGAAGAGGAAGAGGGAGAGGAGAGGGAGGGAGGGAGGGAGGGAGGGAGGGAGGGAGAGAGAGAGAGAGAGAGAGAGAGAGAGAGAGAGAGAGAGAGAGAGAGAGAGAGAGAGAGAGAAAACAGATGAAGGGAGACTAAAACAATATTTATCAGCTAAGATTTCCAATGATGAGCAAATGCAAAAT